AATTGATTCTAACGGGATTTTAATTCGATTTTAATTGGTTTTAAAAGGAATTTTAATTACATTTCAATTGATTCTAACGGGATTTTAATTCGATTTTAATTGATTTTAAAAGGAACTTTAATTAGATTTCAATTGATTTTAACGGGATTTTAATTCGATTTTAATTGATTTTACAAGGAATTCTAATTAAATTTCAATGGATTCTAACGGGATTTTAATTCGATTTTAATTGAGTTTAAAAGGAATTTTACTTAAATTTCAATTGATTTTAGCGGGATTTTAATTCGATTTTAATTGATTTCAAAAGGAATTCTAATTAAATTTCAATGGATTCTAACGGGATTTTAATTCGATTTTAATTGATTTTAAAAGGAATTTAAAGGCGGCCCTACCAAATCCTTTCAATAAATATTCCCCCTAATAATAAATAATTTCTGACCCCCCGGATCATTTATTATTACGGGGGGGGGGGGACGTCGTTTATTGTTAGGGGGAAGCGATTACATAGGGGACTACTATAGGGGTTATTAAGGGGGGTACTAGGAGTTTAGGCACTGGTACATGTGGGGATCTCGCAACGCCAATTCTTAAGTTTGGACTGGAAACGGATCACAGTAGGACCATCGCACCTTGGGTAATGCCATGGTGAGAATGGTCTCAAAAGAGGCTCCAGCTGCCCTAAGCTTCACAGCCCGAAGTTCTTGGTGCATCGAGACTTACCTCCCGCAGTCGAACAACCAATCCTCCAGGAAACCCTGTATCGCATTGTATAGCTATGCGCCTGGGCTTCTTCGGCTGTGGGAGCAGTCCCTGATCGTCCTGGCGACAATGATTTTCAAAGTAATGTTGCATTCAATGCAATGGTGGGTAGCCTTTCGGACGGGCAAATGGGCTAGATGGGGACAAGAAGCTTCTGGGAGTGCGCGCGTTGGCTGTCCAGGCCAGCATTTTGGTAGACTATGTGCACAAAAAAAGGTACGAGCACTACATTCAGAATCCGGGTAGAGCTGATAGGCAGGATCAAATCCTTTGCTGGGTAAGCATGTTGCAGGATATTCATGTTATAACCTGGCGGTATCTTGAGTGCTTTCCTACCTCAACCCTCAATCCTAAACCCCGGATCCTTTACCACCTTCGTCAGAGACGACACGTCCACTGGGCCGTCTGAGAAGAACTGGCCCGCTTCGGCCGGCTGCAACCTATGTCAAGTTTTTCTCAAGCATAATGGTCCCTTCAAAGGGGATAGAGTGGATTCATGGGAGTCATATGGGGCCATACAAAGTTTAGGGCTTCCAAAATTAGGGCCCTTGCCCCGGGGAGGTCCATATTTCCCGTTGTAGGACCAGGTCTGAAAAGAGTTCCTGAAAGTGTGGGTTAACTCATCATTATCTCAGTTGTTGCTATTTGTATGTTATTCTGTTCTTATTCTCACAGTTACGATGATTACGACTGTTACATTGTCATCGCTTGAAGGTTTTCATGCCTGGCTGCGGGCTTCGCAAGTCTACAGCTAGATGGGTGAAGTGCTTCGTACATGTTTCCAACAATTGAGGGTGCATTTTTGGAGGTCCCCATAACAAACATTATTGGATGTTGGGGTCCATATTGGGGTCCCCCTCTTTATGGAAACTAGCATGCATACGGGCCATCAGCAATGATCGTACTGGACGTTGCAGTCTTTCTTAATGTGTCCTTCCCAAGCCTAACTGTCACATATCTGTGAGGATGCAGCTGGAGCTGCCAAGTTCTGGGTCTAGGGATGTTTAGGGTAGCTTCCATTTTCTTTTCCGTTATCTTATATTGCAAAGAATCTTACACCCTACAAACATGCAGCTAGAGGGCTGTCTATGTGCTCTGCTTCTGGGTTCTCGCGTCGTGCAGGAGAAAACCCTTTGAAGCCAAACAGCTATATCGTGCAGGCGGAAGCTCCAACCCCTCTCAGATCTCAGGCCTCTTCTTCCTCTCGGTCACCAGAATGTCTGTTGCCTTCTTGCCGAGGAGGTCACTGATGCGGCGCACCTAGCCACACAGATTGCGCGCCCCCGCACACAACAGACAAAGATAAGAAGAGAGACATCGATATATCGATCGATCGATCGATCGATCCTTAAAGCCGGAAACTCTTTGGAAGTGCACCAATCAATGCTTCCGGTCTCCACATCAGCAAGTATTGTGCATTGAGAAACGAACCAGCTCCATGGATGTTTGTCACTCACAGAAATGGATTCCAGAATCTTGACAACGACCCATTGATGGCAAACAGCTTCTTTTTGATCCCTCGCCTCCTTCAGATCCTTGCCAGGGATGTCTGTGTAGCAGGCGTTTGGGGTGTCGTCCTTGCCTGGACGCACAGCAGTTTGAAAAGTCGCCTGGTCATATGTTAACTGACATGGGAATTTCCTGGAAGTTCCAAAATACACGATGATGACACGGGCTCGCAAAAAGGGACGCATAGGGACGCCCTAACTTTGGAGGCCCCCATATGGCAGCTCCCGTCCAGGAGATCCTCAAACGCCTGGTGACGGGCTGCAAGCAAACTAGCCAACCACCATTGCTCATCTTCCAGGCCTTTATGAGGCAGATAGTGTTTTGGGGCAGGGTTTTGCCGTTGCTGCGCAGAAGGACTACTGGGGGATGATACTGGCGCGAGCCTGAATCTGTCTCTCCAATCAGGCGAGGGGCAGTAGGCCGGCAAACACTTGGAGATGCCGACGCATGAGCAGTTGAACTCACCCACAATCCATTTCTCGTCCTCGCATGCTTGCGTTCAGCGTTTGGGACGTGGGACAGAGGGTTGGGTTACATGACCATCGTGGGTTTCCACCAGATACACGCGTTGAGTGATGAAACAGTGGAAGTACTAAACAGGCTGGGTTCATGCGCGAGGCCTTCTTTGGAATTTCAGGAGATGGTAGCTCCAGCTTCCGATCCAAGCACTCCCTCCTACCCATATGGGGGTTCCTTAGGAATACCTTTTTGGGGGGCCCTATAACAAGGACTATAGTATTTGGGGGTCTATATTGGGGTCCCTTATTTTGGCAAACTCCCATATATCCGGCCAAGGCCAGTGCAATCCCCAATCTGGACTCACTTGCCAATTTGCAAAGCCTCATGTCGACTGGCCTCGAAACGAGCACTTACTACCTAATATGAGATGCCCGCGGCCCTTGTCTCATTCTTTAGCCTTCGTACGTTGAACCCCTTCTGGGTTGCTGTGAAGGTACTGAAATTTAGTTACAACCCGTTTTTTGCTACGTATATACCCATGCTGCAGCTTTTGATAAGTGGGCTGCAGAGTCTCCTTGGCATCGGTGCCGGGCGGAGAGGAGTTGATGAAGTCAGACGTCCACCACAAAGGGATTGGCTCCTGAGCCAATTCAAAACATGATACTTGACATCGCTTGACACTGAAGATTAAGATTACACCATGTACCTTATAACATGTTTATGCTTGTCTTGTAGTCTCATGCAGAACTTTTATTGTCAACCTTAGCTCCCCTTTGTTGAAGGACAGGAGTGTTGGAGAATGCCCTGAACCAGGAAGCGTGGCTTTGCTGTACCATGGCCTCCAGGATGCCGCGGGTTACGGTTTAGGGGTTTAGGGTTTGGACTCATTGGCTTGGGCATCTGTAGTGGATGACCCGTAGTGGGCTTACAGCTATGTTCCAGAAACTAGCGGAGCATTTGAGCCTTAAAGACCCCAACCCCTGATTAACTCAAACTCTGAACCGAGCACCGCCCTGAACACAACATATCCCTACATTACCTCACATATCCTGAGAACCCTCCTTTTGAGCAACTCTATACACAGGTGGTTGTCCAAAGTATTGTCCCTTTTTGGGTACCCATGCCGCATTATAATAAGGATCCAAAAGGGAACCGTAATTTTGGCAACCACCCACATACCCTATAATCTCTATATAACCCATCATAGTAGTTTCCATTTTCTTTTCCCTTATCCCCCAATATAACCCTAATATAAACCCTAATACTACCCTAGTATGAAGCCTGGGACTCCTAGACCTTTGGAAAAACCCAGGCCTCGCCCAGTCCGAGAGAAGGCATGATCTTCCTTGGCTGGGACTTGAGGTGTGATCCCAAAATTAGGGGTACTGCTGGT